CCCAGGCAGCGCTACAGGCTGGGGGCAGAGTGGCTGGAAAGCTGCCCAGCAGAAAAGGACCTGGGGGTGTTAGTGGACAGCCGGCTGAACATGAGCCAGCAGTGTGCCCAGGTGGGCAAGAGGGCCAATGGCATCCTGGCCTGTATCAGGAATAGTGTGGCCAGCAGGAGTAGGGAAGTCATCGTGCCTCTGTACTGGGCCCTGGTGAGGCCTCACCTCGAGTGCTGTGTTCAGTTTTGGGCCCCTCACTACAGGAAGGACAATGAAGTGCTGGAGCGTGTCCAGAGGAGAGCCACCAAGCTGGGGAGGGGTCTGGAGAACAAGTCCTATGAGGAGAGGCTGAGGGAACTGGGCATGTTTAGTTTGGAGAAGAGGAGGCTGAGGGGAGACCTCATTGCCCTCTACAACTACCTGAAAGGAGGGTGTAGAGAGGCAGGTGTTGGCCTCTTCTCCCAAAGGACGAACGACAAGACCAGAGTAAGTGGTCTGAAGTTGCAGCAAGGGAGATTTAGATTAGATATTAGAAAGAACTACTTTACTGAGAGAGTGGTCAGGCCCTGGAACAGCCTGCCCAGGGAGGTGGTGGAGTCACCATCCCTGGAGGGATTTAAGAAACATATAGACATGGCTCTTCAGGGCATGCTCTAGTGCCCAAGGTTATTGGTTTATGGCGAGGTGTTGAGTGTGGGGTTTAGTTGGTGGGTGCGGTGGTTTTTTTTTGTTTTGGTTTGGTTTTTTGTGTGTGGGGTTTTTTTGGGTTTTTTTTTTGGTTTTTTGTGGTTGGACTCGATGACCTCGGAGGTCCCTTCCAACCACTAAGATTCTGTGATTCTGTGATTTCGGGCCGTTCTCGGGGCTCACTCTCACTGACCGCGCTATTTCCCTACGTCTGCGTTACCCTCCTCTGCTCCTCTTCGGCATCAGCAAACAGCTTGCGGATGTTGGCCTCGGACTCGCCCACGTATTTATTGAGGATTTCGGGACCGTTGACCACCTTGGGCTCTCTGGCATTCAGCATCTTGCCAATCTGCCTGGCCATGAGCGTTTTGCCGCAGCCCGGAGGCCCATACAGGAGGATGCCCTTCACGTGCTTGCAGCCTGGGGAGAGAGGACAGGGTTAGAGAGCGGGTTTAATATAGCAATAAAGAGGGCATTGGTGCTCGGAGCAGGGGAGCTTTCGCAGGGCCCTGGCAGAGTGTGTGTGTCACCCCAAGTGCTGCTCCCTGCCTTTATCATGACATTCAGACACGGCATCGCCCGGCCGGAGCAGAGCCCTCCCGGTGACCTGGGAACAGCCGAGGGAAAGGATCCCCGGGGCAGCACAAAGGCTCTGCCGTGTGTTGGGAACACCCAGGTAACAGGCCAGGACTGAGAGCCTGAATTCCAAAGCCTGGTGAGCTGCACAAAGCAAGAGCGACCACTGGGATCTTCTTAGTACAGGGAAGAGAAAGCTGAGGTGGGATATGATTGTTTTCAAATTGGAAGAAAAAAGATTCAGATTAGATCTCAGGAAGAAATTTTTTACTATGAGGGTGGTGAGACAGTGGAACATGTTGCCCGGGGAAGTTGTGGCTGCCCCATCCCTGGAAGTGTTCAAGGCCAGGCTGGATGGGGCCTTGAGCAACCTGCTCTGGTGGGAGGTATCCCTGCCCAGGGCAGGGGGTTGGAACTGGATGATCTTTGAGGTCCCTTCCAACCCAAACCATTCTATGATTCTATGATCAACACCCGTATGTACTCAAAGGGTGGGTGTCAGGAGAATGGGGCTGGTCTTTTCTCAGTGGTGCCCAGGGACAGGACAAGAGGAAATGGGCACAAACTGGAACATAAGAAGCTCCATCTAAACATGAGGAGGAACTTCTTTCCTGTGAGGGTGGCAGAGCCCTGGCAGAGGCTGCCCAGAGAGGCGGTGGAGTCTCCTTCTCTGGAGACATTCAAACCCACCTGGGTTTGTGCAACCTGCTCTGGGTGACCCTGCTCTGGCAGGGGGATGGACTGGATGATCTCCAGAGGTCCCTTCCAACCCCTGCCAGCCTGCAGTTCTATGATCCTGTGTAGACAGGGAAACAACATACTTTTCAGCTCAGCAAAACCCAAGAGCAGGTCCTTGGGAAGCTGAGTGTCCCCAGGCAGCGTGGGGCTGCAGATGCTTTTTCTACATCCCCATACACCCTGAGCACCAACAAAGATGCACCAGAAACTTGAGACAAGCCTGTACCATGGCTGGTTCGTGTCTCTGTCCCCCTGGAGGGACAGACAGTGCCACAAAGGCAGCCCTCCTTCACAGAGGAGCTGCAAATGAGTTCCATTTTCCAGTACATGAGGAAAATGAAGCATCGGACCCTCCCAGTTACTCAGCTGAGGGTGAGCTCCTGGTGTCAACACAGATCAGACACGTTCATCTGATTCTTGAAAGAGAAAGTGAGGAATATGATGGGATAATGCCTACCTTCTGACCCCTGTATTGGGCTTTAATGAGTCCCATATAACACATCTAGTTCTGATTCCAAGTTTACAGGACAAATACTGAGAAACCTGAAAAAGCCATCTAAGAACCACTAGAACCAGAGGCCCAGAAAGCTTGACCCGTAACTAAGAAAGACCTGAAATGTTGTAATTTATTCAAATAATAGGACTTTGATCCCCAGGCAGGAGCACTGGCATTTACAACGGCTGCAAGATAAGGCTGGACACGTCCCCATCAGCAACTGGCACAAGTTTCCCAAGTGCACACAGCTCCTGACGGAGGTTCCCGAGCACGAACAGGAAACAGTTCCCTGAAGGACTCGTGGAATTTTGGATATACAGCTTGTGAGACCCAGAATATCCTTACACCTGAGTATTTCATCTCTGCCTTCCACTATGGGGAGGTCACGGTACCACGTGTGTCTACAATGAAGTTGGTTTTATTTCTTGAATGGGACTATCAGCAATTAGACAACAAGTGCATCAAGACAAAACCTGTTTCCTGGGAGCAATCCGAAGGGGCTGGTGCTGGAACCTAATGAAGTTCAACAAAGGCAAGTGCAGGGTCCTACACCTGTGGAGGAATAACCCCCTGCACCAGTACAGGTTGGGGGTGACCTGCTGGAGAGCAGCTCTGCAGAGAGGGACCTGGGAATCCTGGTGGACAACAAGTTGCCATGGGCCAACAATGAGCCCTTGTGGCCAAGAAGGCAAATGGTCTCCTGGGGTGGCTAGCAGGTGGAGACAGGTCATCATCCCTTTCTACTCTGCCCTGGTGAGGTCACATCTGGAGCACTGGGTCCAGTTCTGGGCTCCTCAGTTCCAGAAGGACAGGGAACTACTGGAGAGAGTACAGCAGAGGCTCTGAAGATAATCAAGGGAGTAGAGCATCTCTCTGCTGAGGGACTTGGAGAAGAGCAGACTAAGAGGGGCTCTCATTGATGCTGAGCAATAGCTAAAGGGTGGGTGGGAAGAGAATGGGGCCAGACTCCTCTCAGTGGTGCCTGGAAACAGGACAGGGAGCAATGGGCACAACCTGGAACATGGGAAATTCTGTCTGAACATGAGGAGGAACTTCTTTGCTGTGAGGGTGGCAGAGCCCTGGCAGAGGCTGCCCAGGGAGGTGGTGGAGTCTCCTTCTCTGGACACATTCAAACCCACCTGGACACGTTCCTGTGGGACCTGCTCTGGGTGGCCCTGCTCTGGCAGGGGGTTGGACTGGATGGTCTCCAGAGGTCCCTTCCAACCCCATATCATTCTGTGATTCCATGATTCTCTGCAGGTAAAAATTTTCCTGCAAAGCTCACGAGATGGAGCTAAGAAGAATTCATTAGTCAACTTTCAGGCATCTACGAGTCAAAAAAAAAATAAACATACACTGTCAGTCAAGACAGATTTCACACAGGAACAAATGAGGCGTAAATAAATGAAAAGCTACTCCTGTCAAAGCCATGTCACGAGAGGCACCGTTCGGGTGGTTCCCAGGGAACACGATCACCCATGGAGCCAAACAGCTCAGGGCAGGAGGTGGACGATGAGTGATGCTCTGAAGGGAAACCCCGGGCAGCCCCGTCACGCTCAGGCCACGAGGCTCGCACCGGGTCTGGCAAGTGGGGGCACAGGACCACGCACAGGCCTGGGAGCACCCTCCAAGAGGCAGGAAAATGGTGCTGCAGAGTGTCCTTTGCCTCTACTACACCTTCAAAAACCAGATGCAACTACAGAGTCCTATAATTGTTTTTTTTTCCAGTTTTCCTGCAATTCACAATCTCTCTCCTAGAAGGGGGTACAACCCAGTCACAGCCACTGGAAGCTTCTCCTCTACAGCCCAAAAAAACCTGAAGTTCTTGAAAAGCCCAAGTATTCCCCTGCTCTGGGTGAGCACGTGTCAGCGAAGGGCTCACGCTGCCCCTGAGCCCCCATCGCCCAGAGTGGGCACAGATGGAGAGCAAAAGGCAAACTGGGAGGTCACAGCAGGATGTCCCAGGGAAACAGGGCTCTGGACCCCTCTAAATACAACCAGAGACCCCTCTGGAGCAGAAGGACCAGCTCTGGACACAGCAGAGACAATAGGACAACCACCCAACCTCACCCAGACGAGCCCAGCCAGTGCTGGGGGCCCACGCTCAGGCTTTAATGCCCCACACATGGGAACAAAGCCATCAGGGACCAGCTGCCACCAGACCTGGTTGCCACTGGACGGGCAACATCGAGAGCTGGGTCTTATCAGGGGGAAGAACGTTCCCGAAACCAAAGCAAGTAGTTCCTCTTTAAATAAAATCGCCCCAAGCTCCGCCGGCAGAGATCTCCCTACAGCCACCCTCACCTGGCCAAAATTAAACTTTTAAACACAAGTGGGACTTTATTAAAATAGAGAAGTGATGACAAACCCCAAATGTTACGTCTCAAACCCCAGCAGGATCCTCTGGGCCGGGCAGGAATTTTGATTAAGTTTATCTCCCCTTTGCTGATTTCACCAGCGCAGCCCAAATGTCAATACCATTATGAGAATCTTATAAACAGCAATTATCAGCAGTGCAGACATCTCTGACTCCTTAAGCTCACTGTTAGGACTCCAAATCAAAGGTCATTCCTGGAATGTGATACTTAATTACGCAATTTAACGACATACAGTCAGAGGCTGAAGGGGTACGTTACCAGGAACTACCATACACCAAATCTGGGAAACATCCTACACAAGATATTAGGGAAAAAATCATTAAAAGTGGTGAGAATGGGAGAATTATTAGTGTTACCAAGAGAAATCAAACACCTTTTTGATGCAGAATGTCCCCTACCCAAAGATAAGATGTTTATTTGTTCAGCTCTCACTGTTCACTTTTGGTTTTGAAAGATCAGAAGCGACGTTTTAGTGTAACAGGGATTTTCTACTTGGGAGTGTAATTCCCCTTTTCATTAAAATCAAAGCATTCTGGTGTGATTGTATCATTGGGAGGCACCTATGGGGAATCTCCACCGATCCCAAACACAAGGGAGAGATCCTTATCTTTGCCCATTAATCCTCACACGGGTCACAGTCAGCTCAGGGATCCCAGCCCTCACCTGCCCACAGACAGAATTCCCCCAAAAACAGAGCTGGGTGGAATTTCCCCTCGTCCCCGCCGGACGCCCAGCGTCACTCCAGCCCCTCCAGTCAATCCTCCCACGGGATTTACGCGCTACCGACATGAGCGGGGCTCAAGTAACTTGTTCCTGCTTTTAATTCCAAGCTGGGACCAGCAAAGGGTTGACCCTGAAACAGAAGGGTTTATTTGAAGTGGACTCTCAACAGCCAGGTTTGTTTGATCCATCAAATCAGCTGTAAAGAGAAGCCAATCACGTCACTAAATTCTTCATAGAAAAGCTCTCTCATCACACCTTGTTGGCCTGTGAGAAGTTTAACACGTGTGTATATATATATATATAAGGGGGGAATAACCAGATTTACGGCAATGGCAGGACATCTATCAATTTCTGATGGAATGTGATAAAAATGAAAATAAATCAGCTTTAGAGAAGCTTCCAACGGAACGCCTTTGGCTACACAAACACAACCACGGCTCTCAGAAAAAGGGATTTTGATAAGAGTATATACAAAACAAACCACGCTTTAAAAGAAGTCACCACTGAGA